TTTTGGTTTACTTAGCAATAAGTTAAGGAAAAATGTATACTTAAAATATATGGAAAGATTATGTTGTGCAAGGTAAAAAAGAAAGTATAATATAGATAAATTCAAAACATATTATAAGAATTTAATTATTATTCAGTATAACTTTTACATTTACAATTATACGTTACTCTAAATGTTAGACAAAACAAAAAGTTTACAAAAGACACAAAACAATATCAAAACGTTTGTGTGATTGTTGTTAAACTCTAAAATTGTATATGTATAAAAACATAAAGCTTACATAAGTTTTCAAAAGACATAAAACGATATGAAATATTTGTGTGATTGTTGTTTAACACTAAAACTGTATATGTATAAAAATACAACGTTTACATAATGTATAAGAAATTAATTAATACTTAAATATTACAACTAATTATGTCTATAAAAACAATTATACCTGCACAAGTGTGCGGACCAACCATAAAGTATTATATATTTTAATATTTTCAATTTATTTATTTTACGCTTTTTATCCAAGGAAGTATTTTAAAAATCTTGGTTATTGTTTTTTATCTTCAATTTCTATTAAAATTTATAATATTTTTTATTTGATTTATTGTTATTTTTATTATTAAATGTTTATATAATGTTATTATTAATACATAATTAATCATATACAAAATAAAACATCTTCAATATACAATATTAACCATATATTGAACATATAAAATATTTTATAGCGTACACACAGTGCGGACCGATCATCTAGTACCTATATATATGAAAATATATATATGTACTTCCAATAAATGTCAATATAATATCTTATTAGATTTGGTTCCATCCGATCAATATCCCCTATATATTAAGGGGGAATTGCTGAATATGACTCAAAACTTGAGTTGAAATGCAAAACTAGACCCCCTATTGCATGTTTGACAAAAATAACTCACAGGAGTAGTAAAATTACAACTTTAACCCTTATGACCAAACAAAAAAATATCAACCTCAATTACTATTTTATCCCAGAGAAGTCTACTCGAGAAGTTAAGTAGACTTCTCGAATAGACTTCTCCAAAAAGTCTACTCTTTAATAATATGTTTACAATTAATTTTAAAAATCATAAAAGATAATTTAATAAAAAAAATTAGATACATAACAACAAATATATACTTTTTACACCTATTAAAAATAAAATTTGACAGAAACTAATCAATTTAAATCATCATAGATAAATTAGGATAAAAATAAATACTAAGAGACTTCTCGAGTAGACTTCTCGGTTTCTCGAGTAGACTTCTCGAGTAGACTTCTTGGAGAAGTCTACTTACACGAATTTTTTCCTACATATATAAGGAGAGTTTAACCTAATTGTATTAACAATAAAGTCTCTCTCTATCTAAAAAACGCCTCTCTCTCTCTTCTCCCTTCTCTCTGGCCATGAATTTCTTCTCCTTCCTCTCTTGCTATCAATATCCTCTCCATCATCTCTATCTTGCATTCAACCTCCTCTCACTTGCAGGTTATGGTAGTGGTAAGCAAATCTGAGCTTTTGTGTTCTTCTTTTTATTTGCTTTATGTTCATATTGCAAATCTGAGATTATTATTATAGATTTGAGCTTATTGTTATAGATCTAAATTTATTTTTGTAGATCTGAGTTTATTGTTATGTAAATTTTGTAGATTTTGTTAATTTTTGTTATTATTGCAGAGCTGAATTTTGTTGATTTTTGTACAGATCTGAATGTTATAAATATAATAGATTATTATTATAGATCCGAGCTTATTAGTTTAGATTTGAGCTTATTGTTGTAGATCTAATTTTATATTTGTAGATCTGAGTTTATTGTTGTATAAATTTTATAGATTTTGTTCTAGATCTAATTTTTTCGTTATTGTTGCAGAGCTGAATTTTGTTGATTTTTTTGCAGATCTGAATGTAAACTTCTCGAGTAGACTTCTCGATCTCGAGCAGACTTCTCGAGTAGACTTCTCGATCTCGAGCAGACTTCTCAAGCAGACTTCAGTTGCATACATAGTTTTCAGAGATTTTAGTTTACTAGTCATTTCTTATGCCAATTTTAAGATTTATAATTAGTGATCCTTAAATGTTTGTTTGTTTAGAGGGTTATTTTCTATGTAATGTTGAATTGCATTGAATGTTTTGTATCAAATTCCTAAATTATCTATGTTTATCTATTTTACAAAATAGACTTCTTCTGTCTCGAGTAGACTTCTTAAAGACATTAATTTAAGTGATTCAGAGGGACATTTCTCCCATTTATATCATATAACTTGTCAACCGAGTAGACTTCTCTTGTCTCGAGTAGACTTCTCCTGTCTCGAGTAGACTTCTAAAAGACATTAATTTTACATAACTTAAAAGTGATTCAGAGGGACATTTCTCTTATTTATATCATATAACTTGTCAACCGAGTAGACTTCTCTTGTCTCGAGTAGACTTCTCCTGTCTCGAGTAGACTTCTAAAAGACATTAATTTTACATAACTTAAAAGTGATTCAGAGGGACATTTCTCTCATTTATATCATATAACTTGTCAACCGAGTAGACTTCTCTTGTCTCGAGTAGACTTCTGAAGTAGACTTCTCATTGTCTCGAGTAGACTTCTTAAAAACATTAATTTTACATAACTTAAAGGTGACAACATTCGCCCTCCTTTGCTATTCACCCTCCTTTGCCAACATTCACCAAGAAGCTCACCATGTGTGCAACCATCTCTTAAGAACAACATTCACCCTCCTTTGCTATTATCCACCTCGAACTGCCACACTGATTCACTCTTAACCCATTCTCCATAAACAGTGGGTATGTGAGCCATTCTCTGTGAAAAAAGAACAAAATCCAAACCACATTAGACATCAAAATTGCATAAGTAGACTTCTCTGAAAGTCGGATGAAGTCTACATAGTAGACTTCTACAGTAGACTAAGAAGTCTACTCTTAATAAGCTAAGTATCATATAAAACATGAAAACTCATTCGACTATACCTATAAAATATAAACATGCAAAACTTATACATAAACAAGAAAACTTAATAACAGAAGCTTAGGATCACGAAAATCTTAAAAATTCGTTATATATTGTATAAAAATGATTTTTTTTTAAAAACAAGAAAAGTAGACTTCTCGGATAAAAGTAGACTTCTCGCAGGTTAGTTTTGCCATTGCCAAAATATTAGTAGACTTCTCTATGAAAAGTAGACTTCTCTGAGAAGTCTACTTTCGTAAGTAGACTTCTCGCAGGTCATTTTTGCAATTGCAAAATATTTGACTTTTTGGTCAATTGCAAAAATGACCTGCGAGAAGTCTACTTACGAAAGTAGACTTCTCGGAGAAGTCTACTTTGCATAGAGAAGTCTACTCTACAAAGTCAAAGGTTGGTCAATTGCAAAAATGACCTGCTTCTAAAGAAGTCTACTCGAGAAGTCTACTCTATTTTTTTTGTTATCAAAGGAAATTGAGTAGACTTCATTCAGACCAAAAGAAGTCTACTTTTTCATGCGGTCAATTGCAAAACTAACCTGGGCGTTGACTAGTAGACTTCATTCGGACCGAGAGAAGTCTACTTTCGGAGTATTTTCGTAAATAAGTGAGGAAGATGAGGATTAGTTGGTCATTTAGATTTCTGAAAATAAAAGAAATTAATTAAAAATAATGACAATTTCGTGAATAACTGAAACTATGAAGGATTGTTTGGACACAAAATGGCAAATGTTGGAAAAGTGATTTTTGTGGGTTAGATTTGCAATTCAAATCAAATTTTAGGTCATTTTTGCAAGAATCCCATATATTAATTGAAAAGTATTTTTAGAGAATAACTTTAGTTTTGTAAGTATATACAATATTGTCATTATGATGATGTGTCACCATATAGAGCTTTTCATAAATTGTTTTAAGAAACACTTATGTTACTAGATTTAATTACATGATAAACCATTATACATTTTTTAGGCTAATATTTAATGTAAATATATCTTATTCAAATATTAATTTTTCTATGCAAATATATAGTATACAATATTACATGAACTAAAAGATAATTTTTAAAATTAAGTCAATAATCCAATAAAATATGTTTCAGTTTTCATATAAATTACATTCACAATATTTTGATAAATATCTTAACTATTATATGTAATATTTGATAAATTTTAAATTAATATTTACATGCAAATATATGATTGTATTCAATTTTTAAAATTTTAAATTAAATATATTATTACATGAAATTTGTATTAAAATCATTATGTGAAATATATTATATTATAATGCATAAATTAACTCTAATTCAATTATGGGCTAATTATTTACGTGTAAATAATTATTTTATTCAATTTAATAAAATCAAATTAAATATATACTATTACAATAAAATTAAAAAACATACATTTTTAAAAAATATTTGATAAGTTCTATATTAATATTTACATGTTATGCTAGTCGATTTTTTAAAAAAAATCATATTAAATATATATAATTACATAAAAATTAAAACATATATTTGTTTAAAAACTGTTTCATAATGATGTGTAAATTCACTCTAATAAAATTATGAACTAAATTCCTGAAAAAATATTATACATGTGACTCATATTTTAGACATCAGCTTATCAAACAACCTTATAAATCACATACAACCACCGTAGAAGTAACAATTCTTATGTCATGCACTCATTTCAATCCCCATAAGATTGTAATAGTCTTTAACAAATATTATTTATATAGTTTAATTTGTAAATTTTCACTATCATTTCTAATATAATTTAATAAAAACAAAATAATCAATACTTAATTATTTCATATACACTATATAAACTCAAACAAATATACTATTATTATAACATACTATTAATATACGCAATTTAATCAACTTTATTGTTAATTCAATCTACCACATATAGTAAAAATTACTCAATTAAAAACTGATGAGCTGTTTACCAATCAATCATTGAAAGTAATAAATGCTAAATTAAAACAATGTTGACTTAATCGAAGATGCTTGGTAAATGGTCTGATTTTTAACTAACAATACATTTTCATAAATATTATTGATTTCAATGAAAAACTATGAATGAATAAATATAGCAATTTAAATACTTTTCATATTTCAATTTTTACTAATTTTGGCACGTAAACACGATTTTAAAATACGATTTTGGAATTTGGCCATTAAAAATGTTTTATGATGTTGATGGAAAACATGATTATCGGTTTTGGCAGATTTAGATTTACGAGTTTTGGCGGAAAATGCAGTGTTTAGGATTTTACGGAAAAACACGGAATTGTGGATTTGATGAGAAAATACAATTTATCGGGTTTGGCGAAAAATATCGTTTTATGGGGCTTACAAGAAAACACGATGTTACGATTTTACGGATTTGACAAAAAACACAGTTGGGCCGGCTTGATAGAAAATGTAATTTTACTATGTTTATGGGAAAATATGGTTTAGCAGATTTTGTGGGAAGATGTGGTTTTGCAAATTTAGCAGGAAAAGCGTGTTTTATTGATGTTTGGTGGAGAAATATAATTTGACAGGGTGTACGTGAAAATTTAGTTTTACGGGGTTTAGGGGAAGCCATAATTTTGCAGATATAGCAGGAAACACGATTTTGCATGTTTGGCGGGATGATGCATTTTTATGGATTTTGGCGGAAAACGTAGTTTTACGGATTTAGGAAGAAAAATGTGATTTTACGGGTTTGGTAGAAATACGTGATTTTTGAAATTTGGTTGTTTAACAGTTTTATGGTGTTTTCGAAAAAAACGTGACTTTTGACTTTTGCAGAAAAATACAAATATGCAATTTTAACAGAAAAATCTGGTTTTGGTAGAAAATGCTATTTCAATTTTTTGGCAAAAAATCTAGTTTATAGAGAGAAAAATGTGATTTTATATTTTCAGCGAGAAAATACGGTTTTAAAATTTCGATAGAAAACTTCAATCTTACAAGAAAACTTAATTTTATGGTATATATCATATTAAAGAGTATTTTGATCTTTTCATTTTTGAGATGCAACTGTTTCATTCAAACACTATTTTTTTGATATCCAAGTTTTTAAGATATTATTGATTTTGTATTCAAATGCAAAATTCAGATGATGAATTAATATTGTTTAAAAGAATAATATTTGAGCATTTATATCTAGATACATCATCTGAATGCAAAAATAAATATGATCTATTTATTTTTCTAGTGTCAAAAAGAAATAAATGTGTACATAAATATTGTATACCCAAAGCTTAAGTATTGGTGAAAATGTTGAGTCATGTCATCAATCACAAGATATAAAAAATTTATATGTTAATTTGGAATTTTTACCTTGCTGTATTATATGCAAATTGGATAGTATTTTTTTTACATTATGTTGTCAATATTATATATATATTGTTAATATTATAATGTAATATTATATAAACATAAATAAAATTAATTATATTTTATTATATAATTTTAAAATCACATTAATATAAATAAATATTAATTATTTTACCCTGTATAGAATGTGGATTATTATCTAGTAATAATATATTATTTTATTTCTTATTAAGAGGCTTCTGGTTCCTACTTTTAAGTAGTCTTTTGTGTTGGCTTCGAAAAGTACCGTAGGAATCATCTTACCATTTTCTCCCAGAGCCTTCGTCATCTTTTCTTTTGGACCGTTCTCTTTCGAGCCTGAGCTCATCCACAAGAATAGACTCACGACAGTTCCAATGGCACCAACTGCTGCGGTATTGTAAAATGTATTTTTTTTATTTGTAATTGTAAAATGTTCATATTGATGAAAACTAAGCTTAAATATATCATATTATTTTATTGTTATTCTTGTGTGTTTTGATATATTGACGCGAAAGAGAGGAGATTCATGCTAGAGCATCCACAATGGTAGAATTCTTAAAATAAATATCTTAACAATTATTTTATTATAATTTAAGATATATAATTAAATTTTGATACTTAAAAAAACTATACCAATAAAAACAAGATAATTGTATAAATGAGTCTTTTAAAAGTTTAAGATCAGTTCTTGTTTTAAAGATTTTAGAACTTTGTCTCTTATGTTTCTTCTAATTTTTTATTTTTTTTCCCTTTTTTTAATACTAGAATATTTTCTCTAAGAAACCCTATTGCATATGGTCAGAAAGGCTGAATGTGACATGTGCTAAATAGGAAGATTATTTAGTGTAATATAATTATTAATACAAAGAATATAATCAGTGGGAATTGTGGGATTTAAAAAAGTTTAAAGCATTAGTTTGTTCTAGTACTATAATATTAATAGTTATTGTGGGAAAATGTAAGACCGGAACAGTTTAGCTGGTTTTCTAAGAATACAGAACCGGTATATTCACTTGCTAAAGAGAATCTGCTAATGCGGGAATTGTCTGGGCTTTTGTTCTCTAATTGTTGTCATTTTTCTTTCAGGTCTTTCACACTATATTCACTTGCTAAAGAGAATCCTCTGACCCTTGTTAAGACCTTGAACACTCAAAATCGAATCATGGAACCATTGTGATCAAGTATGAGAGAGTAGCAAGTCAAAGAGTGAAACCTTCATTAATGGCCCTGGATCTGTCTTTGATGAATTTGATAACTAGTTTAAATGGTATAATTTTATATCGGTTATCACCTTTTCCACATTGTTTCATGTTCTTGGGTTCTTTTATGACCTGCATGATCACCTCTTTCCTCTGCAGTTTGATGCAGATTGGATCCAACCAAAGACGGTTTGCTAGTAAACTCTGTAAGAATCGATATTCAAAAAGATTGTAAATTGGCGAGTTCACTTGAATCACTCACCCGTTATTGAATCTCTTTTTTTCCTGTTTCAATAGGTTGTTCTTGGGATCAGCTCTTTCTTCAATGAAGAAATGTGTCAGCAGATTGTGTGTACAAACATTAAACATATGATCTAGGCAGGAACAGCCTTACTACATTCACTGCTAACTCTGGTGGGGGTCAAGGTCTGTGAACCGATCTGCATCTTCTCACTAGATTCATAGCTTTGTGTTTCCATCTTAGATCTCAGGAATCTCAAATGGTTCTATTCAGCTTCATGTTTTGTTCTCAGTGTAGGTTTGGCTATAAGAGTGTTAAACCTCGCAATCTTTGTTCCCTAGGCAACCTCTTAAATTCATTTTCTTGTCTAATGTCTCACAAGCCCGTAGTTAGTTAGTGTCTGAACCTGATTTTTAGTTTTGAACAGATCATAGTGATGCTATGAACATTCCCTTCATTTAGCCTCCAGGTTTCCTAATCGTTCAGACTTAACTTTTGCAGTGATCTCTTCCGGTTTTGTTTAGAAGCTTGACTCTGCATGAAACCGACTTTAAGGTAAAATTCTCTGTCTATGTTAACAGTTTCCTGTTTTGTTACAGCAGGTTTTGTTTTTGTTTTTCCGAATTTTTCTCTTGCAGGACATACAGTCACACACATATGATCAGTTCTCCACTCGGTGAGATTCTTTCTTTTATTTTAACACATCTGATGTCTTGGGATTTTGAAATCAGGGTTTCTTCTAACTGGTTTTGTTTTTGGTTCAACAACAAAATTACTCTGTTAACAAGATTTCAAAGCCTTTTGTTTTTTTTTTGGTTTTATCAAATCCAAGAGATTACTTAGACATTCTTCTAGTTCTACCAATTCTTGTTCTTGTTTTGATGTTTTTGTTTTTCCCTTAAACCCCAAAAAAGATCATAAGCAGACACTAATCTAATAGTGTTCTGTGAGATTCTTATTTGGGAACATTGTCCCGTTGCTGCCTCTAGAAGAAAACGTAAACCATCACCCTAGCAAGATTGTTAATTGGACCGATAATATGGGTTGGTAGTTCATGTCCAAGGAAGGATGCTATGGGATGGCAAATAAGACCACACGGCTTAAAAGTCTTCAGACAAAAGACTACAAATGGGAAACAGATCCTTAACTTTTCTACACCCACGGCTTAAGAAAATATGTGTTCGATTATTTGGATGGAAATAACGACCAAATGCTTGATGGAATGTAGTATAACCAACGACTTAAGAAAGTCTCAAGACAGAGACTTCGAATTGAAAGCAGATTCCTTACTACCAATGGCTTACAAAAGTCTTTAGACAAAGACAATGGATCGGTCATAAGACTTGCTGGATGTAATCATGTAAAACACTACCTACGGCTTAGAAAAAATACTTAAATGAAGACAAAATGTTGATTTTAGACATGCTAGGTGGGAAAAAAATGACCAGCGGCTTAGAACAGGTCCTTAGAGAAAAGACTATGAACCATTTGGATGGGGGAAAAAACGACCAAACGGCTTAAAAAAGTCTTAAGACAAAGGCTTATGATCCGAGAACTGTTTATGTTCGATAACCACCAACGGCTTAGAGAAGTCTTAAGACAAAGACAGACGAGAACAGATTCTTTAATATACCACTCCCGGCTTAGAAAAAGCAAGAGTATGAGTTGATCTTCTGCTTGTTGTATGGAGTAAACGACCAAACGGCTTAAACAAGTCTTGAGACAAAGACTAGGAATCAAAAAACAGAATCCTTAGGAAAACACCAATGGCTTAAAGAAGTCTTGAGATAAAAGGCTTATAAAGTAGAAAAAGACTGGGTTTGGCTTCAGTTTGTTGGATGGATATAGCGACCAATAGCTGAAAAAATGTCTTAAGACAAAGACTACGAATCAAAAACAGAATCCTTAGGAAAACACCAACGGCTTAAAGAAGTCTTTAGACAAAGGCTTATAAAGAAGAGAAAGACTGGGTTTGGTTTCAGTTTGTTGGATGGATATGACGACCAATAGCTGAAAAAAAAGTCTTAAGACAAAGACTGAGGTATTTCTTTGCGGTAACCACTTATAGCTTAGAAAAGTGATTAGATAAAGACAATGGAGATTGGGTTTCCACTTGCTGGATGGAATTAACCACCATGGACTGAAAAAAACTCTGTAGACAAGGACTGAAACGAAGGCAAATGGCTTTGAAAAATTCATAGACAAAGATTGTGTGGGGTTAGTTTCCGGCTTGTTGGATGGAATTAACGACTAACGGTTGTTGGAATAGGTGGTTCTTTTAATACAACCAACAGCTTAAAGAAGTCTTAAGACAAAGACTATAAACTTACTTTACCACAAGGCTTTAAAAAGTCTCTAGACAATGCAAAAAACGACCAACGGCTTACAAAGGTCAAGACAAAGACTAACTGGAAAACAGATTTCCTTACTTTAACTCTATCGGCTTAGAAATGTCTTTAGACAGAGACTGTAGATGAGAAAACAACCCAAGGCTTACGATCAATGGCTTACAAAAGTCAGTAGACAAAGATTGTGAGAATTTAACAAGTTCTCGACTTTACCCACCACTGCTTTAAGGTCTTTAGAACAAAAAACTATCTTTTGGTTCGTTGGATGGAAAATTCAGTCAACAACTTCAAAGACTACGACAAAGCATCTACGTGAAGTAAAAGACTAAGACTAATTAATTCTGTCTTTTTGTGTGTGTGCAGGTATGTGCTTCAGAAGGTGCTCTTAGGAGATTTCAAGTGTAGCTGATTTCTGTGACAGGTATGTGCTTTTCAAACTTGCTTGTAATTAGTTTATGAAATTCACAATTATGAGAAACGTGTGTGAACTGTGTGAAGTAAAGACTAATCTTTATTTCCATAGGACATGTGCTTGGATAAGCATCCAAAATCTTAAGAGATTTATAAATGTTAGCATACTTTAAAGCCTAATGTGCCCATTGACTTCTCTATGGTTTCTTCCCAACCACTTGAGAATTTAAACACATACATGCATACATACATACATACAAATTTGCATGCTTGTTTACTCGCTTACATTCATATTATCATATATGCTTGCGTCCTTCATTGTTTACTTGCTTTTTGTGATTTTTTGTTTTATTTTCTTGCTAACTTACTAGCTTCCTTCTTTTTGCTTTCCTGCTTTTTTACTTGCTTTCTTGATTGCTTCTTTGCTTGCTTTTTTAATTTGTTGTTATTTCCGTGGTTCCTTACGTGCTTGCTCTCTTCGTTGATTGCTTATCTGCATGCTTCCTTGATTCATGTTCAACTCTTTTTTTTCCAAACCTTGGCGATCATTCAAAACATACATTATGACATCCTCACGATCTTACAGTTACATTTGGTTCTTTTCTGATAAATTCTAGCATTCTGCATAATATTTCTTACATTGATGATTATTAAAATGTTTACTTTTGATGAATTTACCCTTTGACTTGAGTTTTTACAAAACAGATGATTGAAAATAACTTTGTTATGGTAGTGTCTGTCACTTCGTCTTAACAGTGCATTTTCACGAGTTGATTGGCACTTGGTCTTAAACGAATTGATTTTCACTTGGAAATCTATTGAATTCCGGTTATTGAATCTATTGAATTATTTTTACTTCTTTTTAATAATTATAAAAAATTAAATATTTATCTAATTTTATCATATTTTTTATTTAATGTATTTTCACATAAAACAAAAATTAGAGAAATTACTTAAACTAGCACAAAAATTACAGTATATTACTACAATAACATCTAAGGAAAAGTACTTACTAGAATAACACATATTTTTGGTAAAAAGACATGATATGTACAAGTAATTTAAATTATTACATTCTTGTCATTTCTATTTATCTAAAATTTAAAAATTAAAATTACTTTAAAATATCAAGTAAGTGGAGTAATTTTTGTGCTAGTCAAAATAGTGGTACTTGCCGGAATCAAATTATTCGACGGCAATACAAAAAGGGGTTTAGGGCTGCGAGAAGCTTCCCACGGAATCAAAATTCCAGCCACCGGTGATGAAATTCTGGAGCCACTTTGAACCTTTTTCCTTCATCATCTCTGCTACTCAAATTTGAAATTAATCACTAGAATTTCATCCCCATATTTTTTTCGGTGTCTCCGCCCTCACCTCCTCTCTCGAAATCTCTAGTTTCGGAAAAGTTTCTGTTGTTTTCAATTCATCGTCTCCGTCTGAAGAAGCAGATCCCCTATATTTTTTTCGGTGTCTCCGCCCTCACCTCCTCTCTCGAATTCTCTAGTTTCGACAGCTGTTCTTTTCAACTCGTCGTCTTCGCCTAAAGAGCCAGATAGCTTTGTCTTCCATTTGATTAGGTAAATACTTTATCTCTACAATTTCGAATTTTCTTTGTGAGGCTTCTTCCTCTCATTGCATCTGTTCGTAGACCAACTGAAATTGTCCTTTTTGTCTATGATGCTTATAGTTCTGGTGGAGTTAGAATATGGAGCAATTATCTAAAGCTACTGTTCTCTTTTCTAGTTTCTAATAATGTAGCAGAGAGAAATAGATTTTTTTCATGGATATGTCGTGGGTCCAATGTGCTAAAGCAAAGAATTAGTTTTTGTAAAAATTTATGTGTTAATTTAGAAGTGGTGATCTAACCAATGTGTTATTCTTTGTGATGTTTTAGTAGGGTTACTTTGCAGAGGAACTTATTCATTGAAATCTCCCGTTTTTGGTGGTTATAGATATCATCGCTATCACCAGAGCAGCTCTGTAGTTGAGGTTTGTACTGATTAGTTTTGCAAGAGTAGTGTCTTATTCAATGTGAGAGTAGTGTAGCTGATTTAAGACAAAGTAAAAAAATTTCCTACAACAATATCATCAATTTTTAGAAATTATTTGCTTGATCACCTAGAGAAGAGAAAGATTGCTTGTCAAAAATCGGAAGTAATTTTTTTATTTCTATAATCTTAACTCTGAGTTAAAAAACTTGATTTGAGTTTTCAATTCACGATAACTAAAGAGACGAACATAGAATTACTAAGAGCGGTCATGTGAGTATTTAGGATGTTTTATCTTGTTAAACAGAAATATTATGAAGAACAGTAGCATCTAATTGTGTCAAATTTTTAGATTTTGATAGTTACATGTACACTTAACGTAGCTGTTAAGTTCTTGAAGTGAGTGTTTCATAACTTAATATCTGATGTGAGTGTTTCATAACTTAATATGAGTGTTCTGTTTTTGTAGATATAGCTTCATCAAATGGGAAAGACAGATATCCTTCAAGGCTATGTGAAGAGACAGAAGCTCCTACTAGGATAAGAAGTTTAGACCACAACTGCTATTTGTCTAATTTTCAAATGGTCTACGAAGGAGTTGGAAATGATGTGTGGAAAGCGTTGAAGGCCTCTTCTGTTGGAGTTATTGTGAAGCTTAGAGATGTTGCTTACATATGGTCATCCAAGACTGTTGAGTACTTGCTGAAACATCAGTTGGTTATTGAGAGCCCTTATGAGATATGGTCATTATTTGATGGTCAGCCTATCCGATTTTCTTTGTATGAGTTTGAGGAGATTACAGGTCTGAATTGTGCTCCTTTTAAAGAGAATGACAGATGGGATGCTGATCATAAAGTGTTTTGGGGAGAAATGAATGTTTCTACATCGGTTGGACCTTCTTTGGATGAGTTGCAAGCGGTCTTGTAGATATGT